GCTGGGATTACAGGCATGTGCCACCATGCCTGGCTAATTTTTGTATTTTTAGTAGAGACGGGTTTCACCATGTTAGTCAGGTGGGTCTCAAACTCCTGACCTCAGGTTATCCACTCACCTGGGCTTCCCAAAGTGCTGAGATTACAGGCATGAGCCACTGTGCCCGGCCTGCTTGAATATTTCAAGAGATGGGAAGATCATTACTTACTAGAGCTGAACTAGTGCCATCTGAATAGTCAAAATTCCTTCCTTGGAATAAACTAAAACCTTCCATTTATCTGTTCCCCATCATTCATACCACTTGCTTCCCCACCCCAATCACCTAGGCTAAATGTGACAGGAGTTTAGTACTTCACACGTTGACAACGACTTCCCTATACTTCACCCCCACTTAATCGACCCTAGCTATTGCAGCTTTGCACACGTGATGCGACTTCCAGATATCCTCCCCTTCCTGTTCACTCCCCTCTGGGCCTGCTTCAAGGTGGCTCTGTGGCACCTAGTGTGGTACCCAAACCAGCATCAGGTGCCAAGAGAAGGCTGCAAGCCGGGGACTCCATAATTATCTCACCTTCCCGTTCAGGAACTCTGCATCAGAGGCACTTCAGCTGAGTGGTTAGTAGTGTGGGCCCTGCCCAAGACCAGACCTGCATTTAACACTGGGATCCACTGCTTACTATCTGTGTGCGCAATTCACTTAACTCCTCTGGGCCTCAGCTTCCTCCCTGGAAAATGGGGATAACAATAGTGCCTGACTTACCAGGTTGTTGTAAAGCCCACTGCCTGCCATGAAGTATAATAATTTTCAGCTAGATGTGGGGATGGTGGGGGAGTGGAATTGAGAATCTTTGGGGGCCAGGTGCAGTGGTTCACACTTGTAATTGCAGCACTTTGGGAGGCAGAGGCAGGAGGATCACTTGAGGCCAGGAGTTCGAGATCAGCCTGGGCAACACAGGCAAAAAACAAACAAACAAACAAAAACTCAGGAATGGTGGCATGTGGCTGTAGTCCCAACTACCCGGAAGGCTAAGGTGGGAGGATCATGAGCCCTAGGAGTTTGAGGCTGCAGCGAGTTGTGACCACACCACTGCATTCCAGCCTGGGCAACAAAGGGAGACCCTGTCTCAAATTAATTAATTACAACTTAAAGAATCTTTGTGGAGGTTTTTCCAGATATAGGTATCTCTCACTATCCAAACTCTTACTGTCTTAAATCAGAAATATATCCATTCAGAGAGTGAGAGACACTTTTGTGCATGGTCTGGATCCCACCTGCCCCAAATATCCCACTCGTGATCATCTACTAAATAAGAATTTCTTGGCCGAGTGTAGTGGCTCACACCTGTAATCCCAGCACTTTGGGAGGCCAAGGTGGGCAGATCACGAGGTCAGGAGATCAAGACCATCCTGGCTGACATGGTGAAACCCCGTCTCTACTAAAAATACAAAAAATTAGCCGGGCATGGTGGCGGGCGCCTGTAGTCTCAGCTACCCGGGAGGCTGAGGCAGGAGAATGGCATGAACCTGGGAGGTGAAGGTTGCAGTGAGCCGAGATCATGTCACTGCACTCCAGCCTGGGCGACAGAGTGAGACTCTCAAAATAAAATAAAATTAAAATTAAAATTAAAATTAAAAATACTTGGAGTGTGCTGGTATGGGAGCTGCTTTATCTGGATGTGGCCTACGATGACCTTTGTGTCTTTGGTAGTGCTACATCCACCCTCTGAGGGTTCAGGTTGATTTCACTATCAGTGGAACCCCAAAACACACACACACACATACACACCCTGCAATCCTGCAGTATTGGCACTAAATCAAGGTTCTTCTGCCCCAAATCTATACTTCTGGGTGCATCTTTATACTAAACTACTTGCCTCCCGGGGTTGTGGTAGGATTAAACATCTGTCAAGTGCTTAATGTAGTACTTGGTAAAGAACAAGTGCTGGGCAAATGTAAGCTTGCCACACCACCTAGGATGTCAGCTCCCAGGTACAAGGGGCCCTGATGGCTATTTATTTTGTACCTCCTCCTGGGGTCTAGCACAAGGCTGTGCCCACAGCAAGTTCCTAGGTCCTGCCTGCCGGCCCATTATCAACTTTAAGATGACCTTGTTCCCTGAACTACTGACTCGTATCACTTCCTTAGCTGAGGGCTCTGTGTACCTCAAACAACATAACCTGTGAAATGCAAATATGTTCCCCAGAAGGGAAAATCTATTAAACACGTGTTTAAGGGTCATTAGCCAGCAAGGACCTGGCCTATTGGGATTCAGCCAAGGCAATCTGTTTGAAGAGAAAAGCTGGGGGAAGGCAAGTCCCAATGGGGGGGTCCTGGACACTCCACCTCCACTGGCTCCAGTCCCCAGGTGGCGGGGAAGAAGTGTTGCTGATCAGAGGAGACAGATCTGAAAAGGAGAAAGAAGGAAGCCGTTGAAAACGCTTGCTCCCTTCTGTCCTGGGAGCTGGTCACCTCTCTGTATTTCTCTCCGAGGCACCCTCACCTCCCCCTCGCTGCCTTTTCCCAAGCCTCGCCAGCCCTGTGCCCTGGTTTGCTGGCCGCCTTTGAAGGTTCTGCGGTTAGTGTGTGATCTTCGGTCGCTGCTGGCGCTGAGCAAACAGGAAGCGGGCACATCCTGCGAGGCGGCCAGGGACGCAGCCGCTGCGCAGGCCCGGAAGATTCTGCGACCTGCTTCCTCCCTCACAGCTCTGGCTCCAGGTGCCCCAGGCCACTACAGTGGTGTCTCCAATCCCAGAACCCTCTGGGGCTGCCCTCCTGCCCCTGATCACGCAGAGCCCCAAAGGCCCGACGGGTTCCCTACACAGCTGCCAGTCTACTGCATATACCAAAAAGCCTTAACCAGTTACCATGCTTGCTGGTGCCCCTGGGCCGCCTGGGAGGGACTTTCAGGGTGGAAAACACAGGCCAGTGGGGAGGAGATCTGGGGTGTGGAATCTTTTCATGAGTCTGCCTGGCAGGCTGAGTAGGCCAAAGAATGTATGGTTACAGCTTAGGGAAGAAAGATCTTATCTTCCCTGAGCTCGCCCTGAAGGTTGGATGGTCAGAGGGCATAAAGCAGAATCGAGGAGGAAGTCACAAGAACATCTTGGGAGCAGGGGTGGACCAGCCCAGGATTTCACAAGTACCACAGACTCGAAAGCCTTAAAAATGTGCATACCTTTGACCCCAGTAATTTCTCTTCTGGGTATTTCCCCCAAAGAAAAAACTATGGATGTGAATATTTATCATAAGTATGTTCAATGAATAATTTAAAAATCTAAGCCAACCCAAGTTCATCAGCAGGGGCTTGGTGAAATAAGCATGGCACATCCACACAATGGGATGTTCCACAGCCGTTATAAATCATGTAGTTGAAGAATATTTCATAGCATGAGACAATCTTGATACTGTGTTCAGCTGGGCGCAGTGGCTCACGCCTGTAATCCCAGCACTTCGGGAGGATGAGGCAAAGAGGTCACTTGAGACCAGGAGTTTGAGGCCAGCCTGGGCAACATGGTGAAACCCCGTCTCTACAAAGAATACAAAAAGTAGCCAGGGTGGTGCGCACCTATAGTCCCAGATACTTGGGAGGCAGAGGCACGAGAATCGCTTGAACTCGGGAGGCAGAGGTTACAGTGAGCCGAGATCACACCACTGCACTCCAGCCTGGGAGACAGAGTGAGAGACCCCATCTCGAAAAAAAAAAAAAAAAAAAAAAAAAGATACTGTGCTTAGTGTGAAAAGCAGACACCAATAGTGTGAATTATGACCCTTTTAATTAAAAAAAAAATTTAAACAGCTTTATTGAGGTATAAATGGAGCTAAATAAACTGCACACATTTGAAGTATACAATTTGATATGTTTTGACATGTGTATTCCCCCATGAAATAACCACCACAATCAAGTTAGTGAACATAGTCATCACTCCTAAAAGCTTCCTGTTACCCTGTGTGATCTCTCCCTTCCCTTCTCTCCTCTCCCCTTCTCTCCAAATCAATTATGTTTTCTGAGCAGTATGATTTTTGTAAAAAGAAAAAAAATGTGTATAGACAGAGAGTAGATAGATGCTTAAAACAGTATAGAGGACAATGACGGGAAATTTTGAAATTTTTTTTGTTTATGTGTTTGTGAAATTGTATCACAAATACAAATTGCTTCTGTAATAGCAGAAAGTTATTGGAGTTATTAAAATCTGCCACAGATAGCCCACAAAGTGAATATACTGCATAGGTGTTTGGTAAATGCCTGTTGAATAGGATACTTGCTAGAGGCGTGGAGTTGGCTGCAAGTGCTTTTCAGCTGTGGCGGTGATAAATATACTCACGCTGGCTGAGGGTATTGACTGGAGGGGTGACTGCTCTAGTGATGATGGCTTTAGGTGTGCTGATGGCTGTAGGAGTGATGGCTGCAGGGCTGATGACTGCAGTTGGTTGTAATGTCCGGAAGGGTGTCAGCTGTAAGGATGACGCCTGGAAGGGTGATAGCAGCAATGGTGATGACTGTAGAGGTGATGGCTGAGGGATGTCAACTGTAGAGGTGATTACCGTAGTGACTATGGCTATAGGTGTGCTGATGGCAGTGGGGATGGCTGCAGGCCTGATGGCTGTAGGGGTGATGGCTGTATGGTGATGGCTATTGATAGGAGTGATGGTAGCAGTGGTAATGGTCACAGGGGTGATGGTAGTGGTAGTGATGGCAGTGACGACCTTGCAGATGCGAGTTGACCAGGAGCATTGATCCAACAGGCAGATGATCCAACTTCTGGTTTCTGGATTCTGGTCAGTGAGATAAAGGGCTTGGGTACGCCATATAATGTCGAGTTGATTGTCCACCTCTGGGAGGATGGAGCAGAAGGACTGATGATGATTGACATGAGACAACAAGGTAGGGACTTTCTCTGACTGTTCAACCCAAGAGCCGTCTGCATCAGAATCTCTGGAGACTGAAGCTTGGACTTCCTTCCTCCCTAGGGGCCGGCAGGGGCTGCGATTGCTGTAAGAGTAGGTCACGTGTCAGGGCTTCCTGTATGCTGCTGCCGCCGGGTGTCCATGGCCCGCACCCCCAAGCTGCCACTGCAGCAGTCAGAGTGTCAGCTGAAGGCTCGGTTCATGCCGTGTCCCCAGGCAGTACTGGCAAGGCTGAGCAAGAGGCCTCTGCATCTTGACACCTAGGAGAGCAGGGACGGAGTCTCCCAGGGTGGAGGACCATGCTGCGCCGCAAGCCCTCCAATGCCAGTGAGAAGGAACCCACTCAGAAGAAAAAGGTGAGGAGCATTTTGGGAACTCACATCTTCCTCTGCTCTGCTTTCTCGACCCATCCCCTCCAAGACTCTTGGAAGTGGGAAGAGCCAAAGGCCATATGTTGAGTCTGTAGGTGAGGGCCACTCACCTAGAGGGCAACGGGACAGGGAGCCAAAGGTTACAAGAGTAACAGAAGTACAGAAGAGATGTTTAAAATTCTGGAGCAAAAGAGTTACAGAATAGATCCTTAGAAGTCTAGAGTCATGCAATTCAACCCTAGAAGGATCGGAAAAAAGATCTAAAATTATGGCCCAGAATCTTAGACTAGAATTTGAGAATGACAAAATACAATGCTCAAGCTGAACCCTAAGCCTGTACTTAATTCTTTCCCCTCTACGCTGGTCCTGCCACCACTTCTGCCCCAGCCACGGCCTCTCAGGAGCCATCTCACTCAAAGGGCCCCGCTGGGCCGCCCAGCTTGGAGCCATGATGCTCACAGGACCGCTACCCCCTCCTCCACTTTGGCCATGGCCCAGACCCTGCCCACTTGGCTCAGCTCTGTGGTAGCTCCCAGGCCCCACCAGAGATGGAGCCAACCTGGAGATGGGGCCTGAGGCTATTCCAGTCTTGGGGGAAAAGGCGTCCGGAAGTGCAGTGGAAAGCAGGGGGCATACAGGTTCTTCCTGGGTGGGGAATGAGAAATGAAGTTGAGGTGGTGAGTAGAGTGAAGGCTGAGGAGGGGGGATTTTAAAGACCAGGAGGAAAAACAGCTGTCATGGATAGCTGAGGTGTTCATCCTCCTGGGACAGAGACTGGACTGGAAGATTCCTTGAAGATTCTGCCAGATCTAGGATTTTGTGGTTGAATTTGAAGATTTCCAGATTTCTTTGTTTGGGTTTGAGGATTTCTAGACCTAATTCTTTAATTCGATTGAAGAATTCTCCCAGACAGTCAGCAAGCATATCCTACACATCCAGTGGGATGCTAGGACAGTCCCAAAGCAGGCCTGAATTAGGTTCAAGAGGCCCAGGCTGTCCCCCGCCAGTTTTCCCTGGAGCTCAGCCCAGGTGCCCTATGGTGGATCCCCTTTGTCAGGGGAGCAGCTCAGAGATGGAAGCCAAGGCAGCTGAAAGACTGAGACTCAGGGCACTGGGGTGTGCATCCTGCCCCAGCTCTCAGGTCCTGGGGTGGCTGCCACTTCCGGCTGTATTCTCCCCACCCCAGCTGCTTCTCTAAGGTTGCAGTGGTGGTGGGCGGGGGAGGGGGGAGGTTCATGAATCTTCACACGGGCTCTGTCATCCCCGTCCAAACCCTGCACAGCACTAGGCCCAGCAGGCCTGCCATTGGTTGCCACTCCTAAGCAAGCAGGGTCACTTCCCCTTGCTCTCTGACTGGTGGGGGTGGGAAACATAGACTGCTCTATAGACACTGCTAGGCCTCAAACCACACCACAGGGGTGGTGAGCTGGAGGAAAGTGTGAGAAAGAGCTTACACTTTGACACTGGGACCCCGTGCCACATCACGAGGACGTACCTAGGGGCACACAAAGCCAGAAGTCCCCTTTTTCTTTCCCAGCTTCAATTACCCAGATTCTGTGTTCAACAGGCAGGTGGGTCCCTGGGATTTCCCCAGGTCTCTCCCAGGAGAAGCAAGGCCCATGGGGCTCTCTGAAGCCCATGTCCTTTAAGGGGTCCTTTTGGGGAGGGTAGTCCAGGCAAACCCCACCTCAAACTCTGCCAGAGCTGGTGCCAGCCTCCAGAGCTGGAATGAGCTTGCCTCCACACACTCTGCTAGCCCCAGACTGTGGAAATGCCACCCAAAAACCCAAGCTTCCAGAAGGTACAGAGCATCTTCCCCAGGCCCAGAGGCAGTGGACTGGCTCCATCACTGCTAGTCCCTTCCTCTCAGAGGCTGAGATGACGTGGTGGAGAGGAAAGCACAAAGGCAAGAGAGGCCTCTCTCTCCTGCCCCTGCTTCTCCTCTTCGGGCTGCCAATGGAGAATGTGCCAGATGGGGCAAGAAAGCTGAGCTGGAATCCTACCAGCACCTTGGACAGCTCATTGACTTTCTTTGGGCCTCAGTTTCCTCGCCTCTGAAAAGGGGGATAACTCCTAATCTGCCCCCCTCAAGAGGCTGTACAGATCACCCAAAAGAATAGATGTGAGAGTACCCTGTCGCATGTGTGCACGTGCACACAAGGGGGTGCCTGCTATAGGCATGGGTGGGGATAGGGAGACACTGTGAAGAAGAACGAGCCATGCCCCCAGTGCTGGCGCAGAGAACAGAAGACCTAATAGTACCAAGAGCCACCACAGAGTGAGGGCTCATCGGATGCCAGGTATGGTGCTGTGCATCTCTAAGTTTGTTCACTCCCCACGACAACCTGGTGAGGTAGGGGCAGATATTGTCATTATCCCTATTTGACACCTGAGGCTCACAGAGGTGAAGCAACTTGATGAAGGTCACACAGCTGGGAAGCTGCCGAGCAGGGATCCAAGCCAAGATTTGTCTGACTCCAGAGTCTTGACCCCTTCTTTCTCCACTCTCTTGTCCCCCTGTTGATCTCAAAGGCACTGGAAGAGTCTGATGAGCATAAAAGATTCAACCTATCAGCAGGAGAGCTCCGTGGGGCAGACCCAGATAGTTGTGGAATGAGTGACCTTCCAGCCAGCAAAGCAGAGGAGGGTGCGGGCCCTCTAGAAGGGTAGGGCTAGGACACGGCGCCTCCCATGGATCATGAAGGATTGGAGAGGCCCCAGGGTTGGGAGACAGACCTCTTAGCTGCCCTTTGGAGACTTTCACTTCCTTCAAGTTTTTGCTCTGCGAGCCCTTTGATCTGATTTCACCCAAAGGCCAGTGTTAGGGTATAGGCAGTGGAGAGGGATTTTTCCTGGACTTGCTTCCCCTAAGGATGCTCCTACTCTACCACATCCCTGCTTTCTCCCTTCCTACAGCACACCTCTAGTATAACCCCCCACCACCACCACCACCCTGCCAGCATGCACTTTGTATTTTCAGTGGCTCCTCACTACCCACAGGATACACGCCCCTGGCCTGGCTGGCAAGAGCCTTCCACAGCCTTTTTTACTCCACCACCCACCATCCCATCACCATGCTCTCAACATCTCAAACTTTCATTCTTGTTCAAACCCTTCCGAGCTCCACCTGGAGAAATCCTGCCTCCCCTGCATGGCCCAGCTCAAATGCACCTCCTCCACGAAGCCCCGCCTGAGCCCTTCCCCCTCTGCACTCCCACCTGCTTTCCTTGGAGCTCTGTTCAAAAACCACCTGCATGCCATCACCACTATTCTCAATCCACTGCTAACTTCTACACTGGTGGGGCAGAGCAACAGCATGACCTCTGAGGTAGCACGAGCACAGCAACATACTTGGGCTTTCAGAGTCACAGACTTGGGTTTGGATGCTTGCTCTTCCTGAGACCAGCTGCGCCACCCTGCCTAGGGCACTTCATTTCGCATCTTGGTCTCCTCTGCTTTGAGGTGTGAATATGATGCAGAGCTGCAATGAGGCTGGAGTGAGCTGGCACACATGAAGTGCTTGGCAGGATGCCGGGCATGCGGGAGGTGTTTAGACCCTCATTGCTGGATTCTCACACACACAGAGGAGGGGCCTAGAGCTCACAGGGTGCTCAGTATATGCCTGGTACCCTGAAGGAGCAGAGGGAGTGGCTCAGGAGACCACTGGGGAAAGCCAAGTTTGCTCAGGAAGTGAGGGAAGAGGATGCTGGCTGGGGTGGTGTGGATCTCTGAGAGAGTGATCAGGGCATAGTTTCTGCATGGATGTTGCCTTTTAAGCTGGAATTGAAAAAATCTTTCTATAGAAGTATAATATCCATACAGAGAAGTGGATAAATCATAATTGCTCCACCGAATGAGTTTCTGTAATGTGAACATCCCCTTGTAGACAGCAGTTAGATCAAGAAACAACACTCTCAGAAGTCTAAAAGCTTCCCTCATGCCCCTGCCAGTTACTATACGCCCCCTTTCCCCCAGGGCAACTGCTATCCTGACTTCCAACAGCACAGGTGAGCTCTGCCAGGCTTTGAACTTACAGGGGGAACCATATCATGTATATATACTCTTTAGTGGCCGGCCCCTTTACTCAACCATATGTTTGTGACACTCATCCATACTGTTGGGAACCTTTCTATCTCCGTCCTGGGTACTATTCTTTTGTGTGACTCTGCCACAATTAATTTATCCATTCTACAGATGATGGGCATTTGCGGGTTTTCCACTTACATTGGAAAGGGGAGAAACTACAGCTGACAGAGAGAAGGGCAGAGTATTCCGGGTGGGGAAATGCCCAGGGTAAGAGGCTGGAGGTAGGTTGTAGGAAAGAGTAAGCATAAACCGACATTCCACAAGGGACTGCTGTGTCAGACAATGTTCCAAGCACTGTATGCGTACTCGCTTATTTCATCCTCACAACAGCCAGATGAGGTCAGTGCTTTTGTCTTCATTCCACTAATGAGGAAACAGAAACCTAGAGAAGTTAAGAAACATACCTAGTTTACACAGTCAGTGGCAGAACCAAGATGGAAACACTTGCCCTGATGTGAAGTGGGCTTCAGAGAGGTTTGATAACTTGCTGGAGGTCACACATCCCAGAGTTGAACTTCTGAGAAAGCTTCCCTCATGCCCCTGCCAGTCACTACATGCCCCCTTTCTCCCACAGTAATCACTATCCTGACTTACAACAGCATAGGTGAGTTCTGCCAGGCTTTGAACTATAATTATACACGGGGAATCATATGGTGTATATATACTCTTTGGTGGCCCTACATTTCAAATGTGTTGTATATTACGTTTGAAATATACTAAATATATACTGTTGAGTATACTCAACAGTATATATTTCAATATATATTTGAAGCATACTAAATATATATTTCAAATGTAATATGCAATACAATACATATATACACAACAATATATATTTCAAAAGTAATATACAATATAACACATATATATACAATATATATTTCAAATGTAATATATAATACAACACATATATATACTCAACAATATATATTTAAATATATATTTCAAATGTAATATACGATACATATATACTCAATAATACATATTTCAAATGTAATATACAATACAACACATGTATACTCAACAATATATTTAGTATATTTCAAATGTAATATACATTTGAAATGTAGCTCTTTCCAAGAGGCCCACACATTCCCCTGAGCCATGAAGTGAAAAGGGGGCCAACAGTGTATGGTACCACCTCCTCCGTCAGGCATGACTCCCAGGAAGTCCTCACTCCAAAGGGAAGCCAGCAGAAAAGCCAGCCAGGCTCAAGAATTTCAACTCAACCCTGAGTGGGGGTCACCTCTCCCTGAAAGGCGGTCAAGATATTTGGGGCTGTCCCTGAGGTTGGAGGTAGGCTTGGCAAAATGCCACCCTGGTGGGCCCTGAAACTCTATCACCCAAAGAACATGTGTTCGTCCTTTCCATCTCCCTGGGCTGAGAGTGTTCAACTGGGTCCAAGACCCAGCACCATCTCTATAGTCCTTTGTGATTATCTCCTCCCGCTTTGGACTAAAACTGAGACAGAGGGACCCTCGCACAAGGGCCTGGGAGCCAAAGGCCTCTCCTCCCAGCCCCCAGACTGCAGATTAATGACAGGAAAAGACCTTGGGAAAGAGCTGCAATTAGAGGGCAGGCAGGCGGTGAGTTTACTCTTCCCCAACAAAGCCAACTTCCGGCCCCATGCCTGCCCTCCTGCTTGCTTTCCAGCCTCACCAGTCCCTAGGGTTTCGGGGGCGACTTTTAGCCTCCTGGTCTGCAGATCAGGCTGAGGGTTGGTGGAGAGAAGGCCACAATAGGCCCCATCAGCCTATAAATAGCAGCCTAGCCTGCCCTCCTTGGGCCCAGGCCAGCCCGATGCCCACCCTCTCTCCGTTCCCTCTTTTCCATACTAAGAGGAGGAAGTTATCCAGGCAGCTGCATCCTAGCCATACAAGAGGAGGAAATAAATGGAAGGTGGAGGAGAGAAGGGGAAAGAAAGGGAGAAAAAGAGAAAAGAATAGTGGAAGGGGACAACCAAGAAAGGAAGATGGAGGAGATGCTGGTGAACCAGAGTGGTCACCCTGTGGTCATGCTTCCCCCCCACACCTACCTATGGCCCCCTTTTCAGCTCTCCAGAGCAACACAGAAGAGGCTTTCTGACTGAGACTGCAGGCACCCCACCCATCAGGCCCCAGTCGTGCTAGCATCTGCTTGGCCTGACCACTGACCTAGTTTCTCATCAACTACCTCGCTGTGACTTTTAGGAATGTGTGACCCCTGACCCCCAATTGCTGACTTGCTTTGGTCAAGACCCATCAAGAGTGCTAAGCTGCCACACTGCAGTCCCCAGGAGTTGGGGCCAATTATTTGTGTGTGTGTTGGTGGGGGGCAGGTGATAGTGCCCCTGCCCTGGGAGTTTGTCACTGGACACACACAACCCCTTTAGTAGGAAAGAGGATGTGAAACCTTCAACATTGTGTGGGTTTGGGGCTTCAGTTCCTCAAGCCCTTATCTCGGGTGTCTGCAGTCTATCCCACTCTATCTGTCTGGCCATCTGTGAACCCTGGTTCCTGTGTGTATCTTCTGGGCTCGACTGTTTATCTTGATATAGGCTCAGCCTTAACTTCTTGTGTCGAGGGCCTATCCCCCTTGCCTGCCTTGCCCTGGTTTCTGGCTGCTACCTTGCATGTGCTCACATATATATTTAAGAAAGCTCAGCCGGGCGCGGTGGCTCACACCTGCAATCCCAGCACTTTGGGAGGCCAAGGCAGGCGGATCACCTGAGGTCAGGAGTTCAAGACCAGCCTGTGCAACATGGTGAAACCCCGTCTCTACTAAAAATAAGAATAAATAAAAATAAATTAGCTGGGCATGGTGGCTCATGCCTGTAATCCCAGCTACTTGGGAGGCTGAGGCAGGAGAATTGCTTGAACCCAGGAGGCAGAGGTTGCAGTGAGCCAAGATTGCACCACTGCATTCCAGCCTGGGCAACAGAGTGAGATTCTGTCAAAAAAAAAAAAAAAAAAACTCATATCCTGAAAACCATCTCATCAACACAAACCACAAACAATAATAGGCCATACCTAAAAGTCCAAACACTGGCAAACGTCACGGTTGCCAGCTCATCACATTAGTGGCTAAGATTAAAAGCTGAGAATAAAGAGAAAATGGTGCCTTCTACCAAATTAGCCCCAATCACATATGTCCTAAATCTGTGGGCCCCTTCTGTGAGTAAGCCTCTACTGTGGTTTTCCAGAAAGTGTCATGCCAGGTCTTGCTGGCTTCTAGTCGGATTGTCTTGCTCTTATTAGGACACAAATTCATCAGGCTAGAGACACCAGTGTGTTTGTTCCTATCACTGTGACTGGGGACCTGGCTCAGAACACACCCAGGACATGGAGGCCAGAGCCACGGGTTTTGGGAGGGATTTGCTCAGTTACACACCAGGCGATGTGCTTGTGAATGCTGAGGTATGTCTCTAGTAGTAGACACACATTTACTCTGACTCATGTAGTCTTTAACTCCAGGATTCTGGGGACCAAACTTGGGGAATTGGTGGAATTTCAGGCTAAGTCTGAGGCCCGATTGAGGTGTGAAGCTCTTGAGGTCAGGAGCTTGGTCTGTGGCCAGGGCTGGAGTGAAGAATGGGATGAAATCAGGTAGCCCCAAGAACATCAAGGTGCTTCACCCACTAGCCTGGGGCTCTCGGGGCAATGTGGCTCTGCCAGCTCTGGGCTGTGGGTATTGCGTGATGGGGGGAGGCGAGTATGTGGGCCATCAGGCAGCCATTTAGCCCACTGATTGCAATACCCACGCTTTTTCCAGCTCTCCCTTCAGCGCTCCAGCAGCTTCAAGGATTTTGCTAAATCCAAACCCAGCTCCCCCGTGGTGAGCGAGAAGGAGTTTAATCTGGATGACAACGTGAGTTTCAGGGTGTCCTTGGGGGACCTGGCTGCAGGCCCTGAGTGGGGGAGTGGGGGTGGGAGGGAGGAAGGTGAAGAGGAGATAGAATTGTTGGGGCAAAGCCCCCTTTAACACAGAGGGTCCACGTCTCCCCACACCAAGCACTCCCTGGCATTCCTTTCAATTACAAATTAAATAGCAAACTATTTATAAATTTATAGGGCTAAGGACATGGCTAGGGCTAAGAGGGGAGGGGATGGAGGTGTCTCAGTTCCACCCCCTCCAGCTTCTGCTGTGACCCCAAGGCCTCTTGTGCCTCAAGTCCCGGACCCAGGCAGGACCACCAGGGTCCCTGGATCGCCTCTTTTGTTGTCACAGATTCCAGAAGATGACTCAGGTGTCCCCACCCCAGAGGATGCTGGGAAGAGTGGCAAAAAGCTGGGGAAGAAGTGGAGGGCAGTGATTTCCCGAACCATGAACAGGAAGATGGGCAAGATGATGGTGAAGGCCCTATCAGAAGAGATGGTGAGGCCTGGGGACGCAGGGGAGGGGGAGTCCATGGGGGCCTGGGGACCGCTCTGGCAGAATGTGAGCATGACCACCTCAATAGCCACTACTCAGGCCCGAAGGCCCTATCTGATGCAAGAAGGAAGGTCACATGGGAGAGGAAACTCACTCTAGCCACAGACAGGCAGCCAGGCACCATCTTGAGGGTGCAGGAGGCTGGTGGGGGAAGGGATGGAGTTTGAGAAGGGATGAAAGTCTGGGCAACAGGGCTGGGTGTGGTGGCTCATGCCTATAATCCCAGCACTTTGGGAGGCTGGGGCTGATCACTTGAGGACAGGAGTTCGAGACCAACCTGGCCAACATGGCAAAACCCCATTTCTACTAAAAATACAAAAATTAGCCAGGCATGGTGGCACATGTCTGTAATTCCAGCTACTCAGAGACTGAGGCAGGAGAATCACTTGAACCCAGGAGGCAGAGGTTACAGTAAGCCGAGATCGGGTCACTGCACTCCAGCCTGGGCAAAAAAGCAAGACTCTGTCTCAAAAAAAAAAAAAAAAAAAGAAAAGAAAGAAAGAAAAGTCTGGGATGTTTCTTGAGGAGGCGGGCCTGGGACAGCGGCAGCTTGAAGAAAGATGAGATGGCCTGAGGCAATCCATCCACCTCAAAGCTTTGCTTTGGAACTAGCCCCTGGGGTTTAAAGGCCTATTTTCTCTCATAGAATCCCTATAAGAGAAAACAGATTGGGCGCGGTGGCTCACACCTGTAATCCCAGCACTGTGGGAGGCCAAGGCGGGTGGATCACCTAAGGTCAGGAGTTCGAGACCAGCCTGGCCAAAATGGCAAAACCCCGTCTCTACTAAAAATACCAAAAAAATACATATATATATGTTAGCCAGGTGTGGTGGTGGGTGCCTGCAATCCCAGATACTCGGGAGGCTAAGGCAGGAGAATTGCTTGAACCCGGGAGGCAGAGGTTTCAGTGAGCCAAGATCACGCCATTGCACTCCAGTTTGGGTGACAATAGCAAAACTCCATCTCAAAAAAAAGAGAGAAAACAGCGAAGGTTGGCTTCAGCCCAGGGAGGAAAGTTGGCACAGACAGCTGTGGGGCAGGCATGACCCAAGTAGCTTAAATCACACAGTGGGTCTGGGGTGCCATGGCTCTAAAAGGAGCCACTGAGGCAGTGGTGTGCTGGAGTTGGCTCATATTCAAACTGTCAAAAATTTTGCAAACACAACCATTATTAAAAATCAAATTAAAGAAACTTACAATTCGGTAAATTATATATTTTTAAAAAGGTACACTGGGCATTGTGGTGTACACCTATAATCCCAGCTACTCGGGAGGACGAGGCAAGATGATTGCTTGAGCCCAGTGAGAGTCCAGCCTGGGCAACATAGCGAGACTCTGTCTCTAAATAAATAAATAAATAAATAAATAAATAGTGTTGTAAAAAAGAACAAAGATAATACAGTAAGTCTTCAAAACTTATCACTTCCTAATTCTTGTGCTACCTTTTACTCTTATCAGTGCTGCTGAGGTTACTTGCATCCATAGCATCTTCATGGTGGAAATAGCCTCGCCCTCATTTCAGACAACACATCCAGTGATGTCAAAACAGTAGCTTGACATTGGCCGTGGCAGGGAGTGTTTACAACACAGGAATTGGCAACTCATCGGGGCCAGCTGTTAAACAGTTATCACCTCACTGAGGTGTGGTGAGGTGGGGGGAGCTCTGGAGTCTGGCCGACTTGGTTGTGGGTTCTCTTGGGACTTGAACCTGAATTCCCTTGGCCTGAGTTTACAAATGAGGAGTAAGTAACCCTTGGGCCTTACTCCTCATTTGCAAACTCAGACCAACAATACCACTTACCTTCAAGTGTCACTGTAAGGATTCAATGAAATGGCAGGCAGGCCTGGTACACAGAAGCACAGGCAAAAGTAGTTTCCTCTCCAGCGCCATTGTCTGCCCAGTCGTGCAGTAGCAATGGCTGAGTCCAGGTTGTGCCACTGTGGTCTCTTCTGTACGTACATCGCCACTTGAGGCTGACAAAAGCACATCCACATGGTGCCCTGGTCGAACCTGTTTCTGCGAGGTAGCCAGGGTAAGGACTATCACTCTCATTTTTACAAAAGGGAAGACTAGAACTCAGAGAGTGCCATTCAGCCTGTAAGTGGCAGAGCTGGGGTTTGAGCCAACCCCCAGCTCTTCACCAAGCCCAGGCCCATTTCCTCAGCTTCATGCGCACCCCAGCAAGGCTCCTTAAAGCTTCCCGCCTACCCTCCCTGCAGGGAGACACTCTGGAGGAGGGCTCTGCCTCCCCGACATCTCCAGACTACAGCCTGGACAGCCCTGGCCCTGAGAAGATGGCGCTGGCCTTTTCTGAGCAAGAGGAGTGTGAACTTCCGGTGCTCAGCCGCCAGGCATCAACAGGTGAGTAGGGGATGCGGGGGACACCTGCCGAATCTGGAGGAAAGGACTGGGTTACAGCCGTGCTGGTGGCACTCTGTCTGGGAAGGGGCTAACAGAAATGAATGCTTACTCTTTGCCTGCTGGGAACATTCTCAGCCCTCTTCATATTAAATCTTCTCAACAACCTCATGGGGCCAGTACTGTTATCTTTGCTTTATTGATGTGGAAACGGAGTCTTAGGGAGGTTAAGTGACTTGCCCAAGGTGATCCAGTCTTGAACTCAGATGTACCATAGAGGAACTTCCACTTGCTATCCCCAGGCCCTGGAGAGGCCCACGGGCAGAGGAAGACTCTCAGTCACCCTCTTGGACCAGCCTGTCCCCACCCTTCCAAGGGGAGCTAGAGGCTACAGCTCTCTAGGCCTCTGATGCCCCAGGCCGGGGTGGGCGTATGAGGTCTCCAGCTGTGAAGAGTCAGCCTCTTGACCCTAGACCATAGTTGCTGGGCTCAGGGCATCACTTGGCATCTTCTAGAAGTCCATGGGGCAGGACAAGAGGTGCCAGCAGGGAACTCCTCCAGGCAGGGGCTTTGGGTTCTGTAGCCCCATTCAGCAGTGCCTTTCTTGCCCCTCAGGTCCACTCCAAGTTTCCTGCTTTCTCTGGCTCCACAGACACTTCCCTGCCCCCCACTGAAAATCATTCAAAATGCCCACTATTCTGTCCTTCCCAGGGAGAAGGAGCCCAACTGAGTTTCTATGTGACATTGTAACTAAACATTGAGTTATTAAGCAAGGAAAGTCAAATATGAACGCAGGGGGTAGCTTCATAGGTGCAGGGAGCATTGGAGTGGGAGGCAGGGAACATGGAGTCTAATGGACTCAGTGCTGCCAATTATAAAATGAGAAGCCTTGAGCAGTTCACTTGGTCTGTGTGACCTCAGATTTCCTCGTCTGTTCATTGGGGTGTTGGCCCAGTTGGTCTCTAGAGGCTCTCCTAATTTGCCCATTCTGTGGTCAGTGAGCCATTTCTCCTCCTGTTGCCAATTCTTTTCATGTCCAAGGGCCCAGAGGTGAAGCCATGCTCCTGGTGGGTAGCCAAGGGGGTGGCTCAGAATCCCTTCTGCAGTGTAAAGCTTGCCAGAGCGCAGCTGCCTTCCCAGTGTATACCTTTGGGATTTCCAGGCAGACCCCCTGGAAGGCACCTGCTAGGCACTGTCTCAGCTGTCCTAGGACAAAGGTGAGCCTCCTCCCTGCCCCATCTCCTGCAGGCAGTGAGCTCTGCAGCCCCAGCCCAGGTTCTGGCAGCTTCGGGGAGGAACCACCTGCCCCCCAGTACACAGGGCCCTTCTGTGGCCGAGCACGAGTCCACACCGACTTCACTCCCAGCCCCTATGACCACGACTCGCTGAAACTGCAGGTAAGGTCAGCATCCGGGCTTCTCTGGAGCTTGGCAGGCTGCGCCCAAAAAGGAAGCTGAACTGAACCAGGCTATGAGAGTGTCAGTGGAGGCCAAGGCCCCCCATCTCCTCTCTCCCTTGCTCCCTTCTCCTCTCCTCTCCCCCAACAGAAAGGAGATGTGATCCAGATCATTGAAAAGCCACCTGTGGGCACGTGGCTGGGCCTACTCAATGGCAAGGTGGGCTCTTTCAAATTCATCTATGTGGATGTGCTGCCCGAGGAGGCCGTGGGGCATGCCCGACCCAGCCGCCGACAGAGCAAGGGCAAGAGGCCCAAGCCTAAGACCCTGCATGAGCTGCTGGAGCGCATCGGCCTGGAGGTTTGAGCTTGGACCTCACTAGTATCTAGTATCAGGGAGACACAATTGACCCAGGGATGGGGACCAGGAAATGACAGTTATTTGGGGAGGATCTAGGCAGGGGTGGCTAGTAAGCAGCTGTGCCGGTGGCCTGCCTCTGCCCACAGGAGCACACGTCCACCCTCCTGCTCAATGGCTACCAGACACTAGAGGACTTCAAAGAGCTGCGAGAAACACACCTCAATGAGCTGAACATCATGGACCCGCAGCACCGGGCCAAGCTGCTCACGGCCGCCGAGCTGCTGCTGGACTATGACAGTGAGTGGCTTTAGGAGCGGCCTGGCGAGGGTGTGTGCCCGCCAGCATTCCAGGGAGGGGAGGCTTGCCCTGGCCCTGCCCTCTGTCCACGCTCTGCCCTAGGACCGCTCTGCAGTGGAAAGGTACTTTCCACTTTGAATTAGGATTTCAGGGAAAGTGTATGGGACAAAGGAGTTGTAGGGATGATTGGGCCCAACCCACTTTGGATCAAAGGGGACCCTTAAGGCCAAAGAACGCAAAGCCTTACTTGAGGCCTCAAAGCGGAGTAGTAACAGAGCCAGGATTCAAGTCCACTGCCTGGCTCTAGAAGTGTGAGCTCCTGGACTGCGGAGCTGGCCTGGAAACAACTACCGGCTTCTAAGCTGGAAGCAGTGAGGAGAGGGGCAGGGTGGTGGCAGGTGCCCAGAGGGAGAGACCGCCTATGGTGCATTTCCCAAGGTCCCTCCCCCCACCCCCATATTCTGTCTCCCTCTCTCGTCCCTGGCAGCTGGCAGCGAGGAGGCAGAAGAAGGCGCCGAGAGCAGCCAGGAGCCAGTGGCACACACAGTGTCGGAACCCAAGGTGGACATCCCGCGTGACTCAGGCTGCTTTGAGGGCTCGGAGAGCGGGCGCGATGAGGCAGAGCTGGCAGGCACTGAGGAGCAGCTGCAGGGCCTCTCCCTGGCCGGGGCACCTTGAGGTGGCGGTGGCAATAACCCAAGGCTGGGCCCCAGCTGCAAAGGCTGCAGGAGTGGGCTCAGCCTCCCGTGGTGGCCCAGGCCCTGAGGACTGGCACTGAGCCTGGCCCTGCTTCCCCAGGGACACTTAGGCAGAGGCCAGGCCAGGGTCCTACAGGTTCCAGGCTCAGCTGGAGTGGTTGGGGAGTCGCCCAAGGGCACATCCCACCTGCCTGAGCCCCACCCTCCACCAGCGACTGACAGCGCAGTCCCTCTTGGCACCAACTGCTCCCCCGCCATAGCCATGGCCACAGCAATCGGGGCACTGGGAGACCCTGCCCATGTCCCTCACCACCAAGGCCTCCAAATCCTCCTCACCCCCACACCACCTACCCCTGTCGCACTGCTCCTGAAAAGGGGGCCAAGTCAATGTTTCAGGTCAGTCTAAAAACCCTAGGGAAGCTGGCCATTTAGAAGAACCCAAAGTGACCATGGGTAAATCCAGTTCCCCTAAATAAGGCCTGAAGAAATCCACAAGTACCATTCCCACTTTCCTTCTCCTTAGCTTTCTTAGAGATTTGGCCACTAAACCTATGAGACTTGAACCAAGTGGCTTCCTCTTTCTAGGCTTAGGACTGGTTGGGGTTAGAATGGATGATCACCGAAGGCCTTGCCTGCTCTGACATTCTGTGACATTAAATGTCTATTCTCCTGTTACCTGTGGCCTGGGACACCAGTGGGGTTTATCAAGGGGACCAGAGGGGCCTCAGGCTTTCAGATGAAATGGTTCCTCCTACCCACCCACTTTATTCCTCCCCATGTAACTCAGGACAAGCTGCAACTTCCCCCAGCTTAACACAATGCCCATACCTCACACGATATGCACCCTCCCCTTCCATTCCTGGCCCCCTCAAACGAGACTTCTCACAGGGCTGATTGCAGATGGTCAAACCTGGCTTCCAAGGACAGAATTGCCTCTCAGAAGCCAGTTGCAGATCTGGGTCCAGAGTTGGCCACTTGTGTGGGTTCTCACAAGCAAAGAGAGCACTAAACTTGACATTGGGGGTCCACCACTTCAACTTTGCTTTCTGAAGGTTTTGGTGTACACTGAGCCCCAGGAGGAAAGGAGAGTATCTGTGAGTGGGGGCCTCCCTTGACCCTGGTACCAAGTCTGTGCCCTGAAGCCCCAGAGTAGCCCTTCCCTGGTGCCCAACTGGCCTGGGGACAAACAGCGTCCACTACATCTAGGACTGCCAGCTAAGTGGACACACTTCTTGACCTCCTACCAGGAACTTTGGTAAAAGCTAGCTTTGGGGAAGGGGCTGGGTGTAAATATGAGAGGGTGGAGGGAGACCAGCTGTTAGCAATAAACTTGGGTAGAACTAAATTACTGTCTCCAGGTATCTTTTCTATGGAGAGAGGGTTGTGGGGAGTGCCAGACCGTTCTCCTTCAAGGCTGGACTCAACAAAGTGTCCCTAACTGTCCTTTCAGGTCTATCTTTCTCTTCCCTTAAATGTTCAGTGTCCTTGACTCTGCTGACCTAAAGCTCCAGTCTGAAGCCCTAGCTGGCTCTGCCCTTCCCTCTAACCAGCTCTCCTCAGAACAAGGCTCAGGTTCCCATGGCCACAGGCTTTGCTGGAGTCCAAGAGGTGCAGGGGGAATAACTATTTCCCTCATCCAATAACTGTTCATTTTAACAGGACCCTTCAAGACCTTCACCCCTGTGAAGAAGGGCCTGCACTAAGGAGCTGTCCAGAGTCTAAGAGGGGGAGATTTGGGGTCAGCATAGCCTTTCCTCTGAAGCCACCTTTTCCTGGCCCCCACCCTGTTCCCACTAAAGCAGTACCATCTCCCGGGAGGTGGGATGGAGGTGAAGACCCCTAGCTTCCTTTCTGTTTCTGCCAGAATTAACTGCCTTGGGCATTGGGAAGGGGGTTACTGGAGGGAGAGCTGCCACCAGAGTGAGGACAAGGCCACTTGACTTCCAGGCCTTGTTCTCAGCTGCATTCATCCCATCGTCCTTAGTGACTCGGGGTGCCAGGAAACTGCAGGCATGATCCTCACCAAAGATGCAAGAGCCCTAACAGCCTCAAAGCCCTAAGGGTACTGAATAATTGCAGTCATCTAGGGAGCACCTCCACTTGTGCCAGAGCACTTTACATATAGCATCTCATGTAATCCTCACAGTGTCCCCCTGAGATGGGTGCCCTCATCAGCCCAGTTTACAGAGGAGGAAACTGAGGGTTGGAGAGGTTGAAGAAGTTGACTAGAAAGTAACAGAGCAGGAGTCTGCCTGACTGCAGAGCCCATGTTCTTAACTCCTATGCTACAATGCTTCTCCAAAGGCCTCATCCAACAAGCATTCAAAAGTCCTGGGCACTTTGGAGGGCAAGCTGACCCTCTGACCTTCTAGAATTTAAACAGCCACCTAAATGCAGAAACAGCCACACAAGTGCACAAATACCTATGGACAAAGATATTCACAACAGCTGTCTGTAATAGTAAAAAATTGAAAACAACGCAAATGGGAAATTAAATACTTTATATTTTGTTCATATACCACGCACCCATGACACATGATGTTGTAGAAAAATATTTAATAACATGAGAAAAATCTTTGTGCTTTTTTATTCTTTGATTCTATTTATTTATTTTTCTAGAGACAGGGTTTCACTCTGTTGCCCAGGCTGGAGTGCTGTGGCATGATCATGGCTCACTGCAGCTTCGAACTCCTGGGTTCAAGTGATCCTCCCACCTCAGCTTCCTGAGTTAGCTGGGACTAGAGGCATGCACCACCACACCCAGCTAATTTTTGTTTAGTTTTTGTAGAAAGTGTGGTTATGTTGCCCAGTTGCCCAGGCTGGTCTCAAACTCCTGGGCTCAAGTGATCTTGCTACCTCAGCCTCCCAAAGTGCTGGGATTACAGGCATTGAGCCACCACACCCAGCCTTCTTTAATTTCAAATTTGAAAATTACACAAATAATGTATAAACAGTTTAGTTGTAAAATAAATTTGTGTTATAGCAAGGGGGAAAGCAAATCCTAAAACATTATTAATAGGATGATTCCATTTTTATTTTAGAAAAGGAGAACATATACATAGAATAAAGACTATGAAGATCTGCACTAAATGACTACTACTGGTGATCTTGTGAGGCGCATGGGGTGGGACTAGGGGAGTGAGGGAGAAAAATGCTCACTTTCTACATCCTTGTTTTATTTGCATTTCAAAAGTACTATTTTTATATCTATGAAAAAAAGGAAACTGCATTTCAATTTTTGAAAAAATAAAACTAAATTAACAAATAAATAGAGCCCACGCCTCTGGCCTCCAATATGGGACAGTAGCAGCAAAACCATTATCCTGCTGCCTTTTGGCACACGGTTCTGGAAAGATGATAGGTGAATAATGGCCAAAGTGCTTAAAATCCATGCATACTAGGGTGCACCTATCAGAGGAGATTCCTAAACCTTTTAAAACCCCTGTGTAATAGCTGTTGCTTTAAGCTGGGGAAAGGAAAGGATCAGAAAGAGAGGAACGCCTGGGAACATGATGTTTGGAAATCCTCTCCTACCCTGGGGAGGCAGCTCAGGGGTGGGAGTGTGTCTCAGACATCAGGCCCAGTTTGGCGTATAGGATGATTACAGTCTGGAGGTAGGTAGCTGTGCAAGGACCCCAGGGATCACAGGAGTTTGGGAGGGGCAGGTGAGGTGGGGCATCAAGGGAATGTAGAACAGGCCAGGGCCCTAGGGGCAAGAAAGGCAGTGCTGAGCAGGGTCACAAGGCCCAAAGCTCCTCCTCCAGACAGGGCTGCTGACATCTCTTGTCCTGCCCCATGCACTTCTAGAAGGTGCCAAGTGGTGCCCTGAACCCAGCAACCAAGGTCTAGGGTGCAAAGAGCTGACTCTTCACAGCTGGAGACCTTACACGCCCACCCCAGCCTGGGATGTCAGCAGCCCAGAGAGCTGTAGCCTCTAGCTCAGTCCCCTTGGAAGGGTGGGGACAGGCTTGTCTAAGAGGTTGATGAGGCAAGCTCTTCTTCTGCCCGTGGCCTCTTCAGGGCCTGAGGAGAGCAAGCAGAAGCTTCTCTAGGGTAGTTGAGGCCTAGCACTTAGGAGCTCAGGCCTACCTGAGTTCAAGTCTTGGCTGTGTCATTCCTAGCTGGGTCACCTTAGACAAGCCACTTAACCTACTTGAGCCTCCGTTTCCACAACAATAATGTAGGAATACTAGCGCTAGCGCCATGGGGCTGTTATGAAGATTTAATGTACTAGGATAAAGTCCTTTGCACACTGTCCAGCACAAAATAAATGCTCAAGGAGTGATAGTGTGTCTGGCTGCCTCGATTTGCTCCATCCTGCTACCTCCATTTCACTCCTTTCAAGGCCCATCTGACCTTTGACCCCCAGTTAGTATAGTGAAGTGACCAAAAGCAAAAGTCTTTGGAGTTCAAATAAAGTGTTTTCAAACTCTTGCTACATCACTTACTACTTATATGACATTGGGTAAAGTACGTACGTATACATTTCTTTTCTGTGGAACAGGAATAATGATCTAATAATACCTACCTCTTGGGGGACATGAGAGAAATCAATCAGATAACTCGTACAAAGTTCCTGGCACATAGTGGCATTAAATGGCGGCTATTTGACTTTTTTGTAACCTCCAGGGTACTGAGCTCAAGACTGGGCACAAAGGCCGTGTCACTACATGCTTGTCTGAGGACTGACTGATGTTCAGACCTGTCATATCCCAGAGACCACTGATGTCCAGGCCCCCAGGAGGTGTTGGGATTCAGGGGTAGAGGGTGCCAGCTCTGGTGCCCAGAGAGGCTGGTGATGAAAGAAAGCCCACCTGAGGAGCCTGGGGCAGCCCTGGCTCTGCCCAGTCCACAGCAAGTTGATCAGCCCTGGGCATTAGACTTACTTTAGGCAACTCTCTTGGACTTCTAGGGGCTGCTAGAAAGAAGAGAATAAAGACCAGATTTCAGAAGAAAGAGTTGAGTCTAGCCAGCTCCTCACCAGCTCAGAGTTAGAGCTACCTTCTGCGTCTCCTTCCTGTCAGGAGAAGCAGCTGGAGGCACCGGCACAGCCCAAATGAACCATGTCCTCTCTCACTTGCTTCCTCTGTATCTCACAACCTCACCTTAGACTACCCCAGCAGGTTCTGATCAGCCCCCCAAAGGCCTCCACAAATTCCCTTTCCTAAACCCCGAACCCTATGGCACTGTGATCTGATACATGGCACTGAGGCCCCAGCCCCCATGAGTCAGTTTCTCATTTCCTACTCACAGAGCTCCCCGCCCATGGTTGGGCCATGAGAGACCTAGGGCATTAAAACAAAGGCTAAACGAGGTTTTTTACGGGAAAAATAAGCACATCATCTCAACAAGGCCTAACAAGGCCCTTCCCCCTTCCCAAGTCAGGAAATTCAGGATGAGGTATGAGGTTTCCCACTGGGGTAAAGAAGTGGCTCTCCCACCTCTCCTTCACAATAGAGGCTACCATAGCTTCTCACACAACATTGGCCATATTACAGATTATTCAGCCAACAACACAATCAAGTGGGAAGGAACTGCCTCCCCTCTAGACTCAGCCAAGACTCCTCCTCCAGGAAGGACCTAAATAAATGGAATTCTATAGCACTTGATATGTAGGCTTCACCTTTTCCTATAACTTCACAGTGACCAATATAGCATTTGTATACCATTGCCTCTGGGACCTACCAGGGATAGCGTCAGAAAGAGCCCAGAGCAACGGCCCTCACAAAGGGACAGCCAACTTGACTGTGGGAACTTAGCAAGGCAATTTCCTGACTTTCTGTGCTAAAGAAACCACATCATCAGTTCAACCTAAATGCGGGGGTCTGGAGAGAGACTTAAGAGCATTGAGTTTAAAACAAAAATCCAACAACCAGCCTCATATCAGCCCGACTATATATAGTCAGTCCTCTGTATGCCTAAAATGGAGAGCTTATCAGTAATATCCCAAATGGCAAATAATCCTAAAAATCATTGCTGTTTCTCAACTTACGAGGGTTGGTACTACAATTTCTCCTAAAGTTAACCCTAGCATGCAGTCAATCTTCAACAAGTATTTATTGAGTGTTAAATAAATGAAAGCTTCATTTCATTCAAGTGTCATATGCAGTTATTCCAACTCTCTTATCTGTCTACACCTGCTTGACAGAGGACCAATCAGTTATGCCAGAAAGCTCTCTAGACTGGGAGCCAGTACATCTGGGTTCTGGTCTTGGCTCTAACAGTAATTCTCTATGTGACCCTGGGTAAGTTACAGTATTTAATTTGAGGGAAAAAGAGAGAGAGAGAGAGAAGTATAGACTACATGATCAATATGTTCCTTTAAGCTATGTTGTTCAACAGCAT